AAGAGTTTACATTAGTTGGAGTCAGCAATGTGGCATAACTGCACCAAAGCAGTGACCTCTGCAGCTATGGGGAAAGGTGAAGGATATGGGCTGATACTGAGTTGGGAAGCTGATGCAAACTCAGGGAGAAGCAGAAGGAGCTAAGCACAAGGCAGTATCAGTTCTAGAAACAACAGGATGCTGTGAGGAGGTCAGGTATGAGGTTACAGTGCTCCCCTGCCCTCACAGCCAGCCTGTCTCTGGGGTCATGACTTCCAGTGCTGGAAAGCAAGTAGAAGATGTCACCTGGAGGGGAAGGTTCCAGGAAAGGTTAGCATTGCTGGGACACTAGTTCCCTCCTGCGATGCTGCAGGGCTGGACCCCAGCTGGATGCACTTGGTGGACTGCTGCAAGGGAATTGTGCTTGCCTGGGTTAAGGGCAAGAAGACACCATGGGACCATACCAACCATGACAAACCCCATCTTGCCCACGGCTTCCTTGTGGTCATTGTCCACCTGGCAGACCAGGGCGTTGCAGAGGTGCACAGCGATGCGCTGGATGGACTCGTCCTGTCGGCTCTGGTTGAGAATGTTCAGCAGCAGCTCGTTGACTCGGCGGTACTGGAACTCCAGCTCCTCAGGGATGCTGAAGTTACACAGTGTCAGGCAGCAGTTTCGCTGTACCTGGGTCAGAAGGAAGCAAATGCTGGGCCAAGTGGCTCCAAAGACACAGACTCATCACCTCGTGCTCCCTTGCTGCTTGGTACTGAAACCATCTTCTTGCTTGACTACGACTACTGAAATGTCTGTTGCCCTCCTGGCTCGCACTGTGCTTCTGCCATGCTCTTTTGGTTCCCTCCTCTCTCTCCCTGTCACTCCAGTCTCACATGGCCACACAATTATCCAGTGTCCACTGCTTTCCAGTTCCTTACTGCCTGCAAGCTCTCTGCACAACTGGCTCCCAGTACAGAGATTTGAGATGTTTCTTTCCGTGGACTCAACATCCACAACAGCCACACCAGTTTCATCCCATAGCCAGTGCTGAATATCTGTGCTGTGTGTCACATACACCACTCTACCCATGCATAAAAAGGAGCCTTTCTATCATCACTTTCTCCCCCTTTTTCTAGAGAATATCACAAGGATAAGGAGCATCCTGCATGTAATCCCCATCACTGAGTGAAGGCAAGGAACAGATCTCAGCAATAGCTTCTCTGGTGTCTGCCTGGAGGGATTAGAAGATCCAGATGCTGACACCAGGCTAAAGATTAAGAGGACTATGGAAGCTGAAGGAGCCTGAGCTGCTCTTACTGTGACCTCCTGGTAGGACTCCATGCCGTTCAGCACCACCTGGATGACCTGGCGCCGCAGCTTCACGCTCTGCTCCATGCGGTACTCGGAGTTGGTCAGGTAGAACAGTGCTGCACTGCCTGTCACCTGGATGTTCTTGTCATCCTTGTGGCACTTGAGGGCTGTGATCACCAGCTGCAGAGAAGCAACATGGAGCTTCAGTGCCACTGACTTGCTGCTGAGCCTCGGAGTGACTGTTAGGAGCCTGCAAGGAATGCGTGGCCCAGGCATTGCAGGAATGTGCTTATGAACTGAAGGTACCCAGTTCCACTGCACTCCTGCAACTTTCTCTGGAATGGCCTGATATGGTGTCCCAGGGTGAAGAAGACTGGGATTGCAAAATTCCCCTTGTCAGGGTGAGGCAAAGGCTTACCTGGAGGGCTCTCAGCAGCTGGCTGCAGCGCTCGATACGGGCAATGTCAAAGAGCAGGTTGATGGCTCGGGAAGTGATTTCCGGCCGGTGCTCCGTGTAAGCCTCAATAGCATTCAGGACTTGTTCTTCGTTCTTGTCTCCACTCACCTGGCATGGAGGAACAAAAAGAGTCAGGGAAGAAGTTATGGAGGAGGAAAACCAACATGAGAAGGGAACTCTGAAAGGTCAAAGGGTACAACTTCGCTCTGCCCTGCCAGGAGGATTCAGCCCAGGATGAGAGTGCAGAGACTGAGTCACTTCTCAGCCCAGAGGGATGAGAAAGGGCACCTTTGGGACAGGAGGATCTCCTCACAAGTAAGACTCCTACTCTCTTAAATCTTTTCTGTAGTCACAGACTTCCTGATCCTTCAGGCAGGATGATTTTTCCATGCCCTTCTAAGAGGGGATGTTTCTTAACCCTTGTGAAAACCAGGTGGGGTACAGGCCTTGCCTTCTGGCAGTTTTCCTGCATTATCAAGTAGTTATTGGAAGGTCAGAGCTCAGTCATCACAACTGAGACCTGAAGAACTCCATTCTACTGACAACCAATATTTTTCATGCTCTTTCAATTTCCACCAAGTACCTACAGCCAACATTCCTGTGGCCTCATTACCTTGTAGGCTGGAATATGTGTCAAGCGGCAGAGAGACGTTTCAAAAAGGCCCAAGAACTGCAGTGGTCGTTTCAGACCCCGGAAGGGAGCAATGCTGCTCTTTGCTGGCTCAATGCTGAGGGGAGAAAAAAGATTGCTCATGTTGGTACTGTGTTTCTTCAGGTGTCACCTGCCACAGAGAGAGCTGCCAGCCCTCCATTCACTCTGTGCTGCTTCATAACCAGGGTGGTAATAGCTACACTTGAGCTGTACACCAGCCAAGCAGCTCCTACACATAACCCTAAACATTCATCCCAGGTGATCCTGAGTGAAGGCTGAATGTGCTAAATGAATCCAGCAGTAAGAACTCATGCAGATAGAATGCAGCTTTGTCAGGCAGAAGTCCCTGGGAATTAATGGGCTGAGGTGAACATTTCCTCTTAAAGGGCTGTGGGTTTCCCTGATCCACACTATCTGGAATTGCTGTTTCCTCACCTTGTCTGGCCCATCTTCTCCTCCATGCTTGGGATAGTGCAGTTCTCCAGCATGGTGTGCCCTGAGATGTCGAGGGAAGTGAGGTTCACCAGGTTCTCCACAAACAAGTTTAGAACCCGCCGGGTCAGCTTGAATTTGTAGTAACTGGACAGATGGTCTCGGGAGATATCCAAGTGCCTGCAAATGACAGAGAGCACCTCAGAGCCTGCAAAGTGTTAGCTGGGGCTTCTGCCTCTCTACCAGAGGAAGAAGACAAGACAAGTGTGATTATTATTTATTCTTTTTTCCTTCCCAAGACACAGGAATGTGGTTCAGTAGGCTCTGACAGCAGGATCTGGCTCTGCATCTAACAAAAGCACAGATGCCTGGTAGAGGTCTGCCTGGAATGGAGCACAATGAATCATTTGGCCACACAATACAAAGGATATTGCTCCAGGCTCCAGAACTGCCTTTCCCAAGCTCCATCACTGCAGCCACCTGAGTGTTTCTGTCTGAAGATTAAGATGCACCAGAGGATCTTTGTATCCCCAGAAACATACCTTGCCTCATCCCACAAATTAAGTTACACAAGTTTTTGTCTGCTTCCTCAATCTTCTAAATTTTCCACCCCAGGCTATCACCCTATCCTGATTTCTTTGGGAAAATCCTGCTGCTGAGGGAGTGGTGGGACAAACTGACATCATGTGCAGGTGGAGTCCCTTACAGGGCAGGGGCTGCTCCTGCCAAGCAGTAGCTAAGATCTCTTGAGAGAGACTTTTCTAAACTGCCTAAGACTGGAGCCAACATCCCACTCACAAAAGTGTCTTCTACCTCTTGCAGACCAAGTTTCATTGAAACTCACTAAGAGTTAAAAGTACTTGAATTTAAAAGTGTTATCCAGAACATTCCCTGATACTCCAGGGTGTATGTTGATGTGGTACTTCCTCATGTCTGCAGTTGGCAGAGACAATGCTAAAGTCATGGCAAAGCATCCTTCTGTGAGCAGTAAGGCCTTTCCCCCTGGCTTAGGAAGTTCTGGATCCCTTTCCCAATACCACGGTGAGGTTTGAATAGCAAATATGTCACCTCTGTCAGGATGTCATTTCACTGCCACTGATAGGTCAGGAGTGCCCATTTATTGACACTGCTTGTTCCTTGCTGGAGTCAGTGAGTGAGCCTGTTCACAGGAAGGTTTATAACCTGAACACAGCAGTGAGTGCCTCTCTGTTAGCAGGCAA